ACCGCAGTTGCTTTTCCTCATTTCAGAATGGATCGTAATCGGATTATTGCTATGTGGTTTTTGCACCGTCGTCGAAAGAAATCGAAGCGTGGTAATAGGATGTATTGGGTCCATCCATTCAATCAAAGGAGCGTTGGAGTTGGTGTATTTTACACGTTATTTGAAGAATTTCGAAGAGATGAAAACAAGTTTTTTAACTATTTCCGTATGTCCATTTCCTCATTTGACGAACTGCTTGGCCGATTGAAATGTAGCCTTCAGCGTCAGAATACAAAAATTAGAAAGTGCATTCAACCTGTGGAAATGTTAGCTGTGACAATTAGGTAAGTAAAATACTACGGTATTCTTTTTTAAATTTTAATTACTATAATTATTTTAAGTTTTAAATATTTATTGTCATTTTCAAAATATGAATTAACAAAAGCATCATTGAACAGTAAACCGAACTCAATATATTGTGAAATCAATGGATTCTATAGTCCCAGTTGTATTGCTTGAAATTGTAGAAGCTGTAGACAGCGCCGGGGACAGATTTTCCGACGGTCTGTAGGAACGAGGAGTTGATGAAGTCATCTGTCTCCCATAATGCTCATAAAACTGAGCAGACTTGTTGTTGGGAACTGCATAGACGATGGCACTGCGGTGTTAATTGTCATCTCCTGACTTTCTTGTGCATGGGAAAATCTAGAAGGTGAGAGGACATTCTCATCCCTTTTACGCTGTTTCGTATTTGATATAAGTTGGAATATTCCAATCTGAAATTGTACAAAGTCGTCATCTTCAAAAGTTTCCAGTGACGGAATATTACTGTTAAAGAATGATAAGTGTCTGTTTGGTTTACTTCCTTCCAGTGCTTTTAACATTTGCAATTCCAATTCATCTGGTTTACGCGCCTGCGTGAACCCAGTCCAGTTCGTGGTGTTTCAAAATTAGCTTCTGTAGAAATTTCAGGATTAGTGACCTACTCTTCTGTTCCTGCTCTGGGAATTTCAGTTTGCCTTACGTAATTCAATTTTGCCAAAAATTTAATTTGATCGTTGTACACGTATTTCTTAATTTTTTGTAGTTCCTGCACCGGATATCTTGGTTTCTCTGTGTTTTTTGCATGATTTCACAAAGGTGTCTCGAACATTTGTCCATCTTCTCATTACTTCTTTGCCTGTATCAATGAAATTTACCTATAAAACTTGTATTTTATGAAAATTGAAGCGTGCGTCGGCTGAAGCAACGTTATAAGTTACAAAAAAATCAAGTGTTTGTTTTCTATGTAATAATGTTCTATATATTACACAGAAGCAGGCAATGGCAAACCACTTCTGGATCATCTGCCAAGAACGTATATGAACAGGTCCCAGTCCGAGAAAAGGATGGAAGGATCCTGTTCATATGGACCTGTCGTCAGACAGAACACTACATAATAATAAGATGAGGTGGTCTAGCGGTCAGAACGCTAGCCTTGTAATCCTGGGGTCTCGGGTTCGATTCCCGGTGGTGGATCATCTGAAAGCATTTTAAGTCGATATTTGCAGCCACGGAAATCGATATGCCAATTACATGAGGGCCGAGAAACTTCATTGGGAATTTCTCTTGTGTTAGGCCGAGACCGCTAGAATGTTGAAGCTGATAACGAGTGCATATTAACTCGAAAAAACAAACAAGTTAGGAAATGTGCGCGTTGTGTCACAGTGTAAAAATGTTGGCACATCCGCCAGAATTTTATCTTTGTGACTGGCGGCAATTCACGCGCAGGGGATTTCCAACGGGGAATCTGTCCAACCTTTGAGCTTTGCAAACAGCAGGAGAATTCTCTGTACTGGGTCACCCTTCCTCCGTGTCGATGGGAATGGGCCACTTCAATGGTACTGGGTTCAATTCCAACAGTTGTCGTTAATATAAAAGACCTCCCTAATAGTCTAGTGGTAAGCGAATTGCCCAAATTCGCGATTATGTCATCACGCATGTAAAATGGCCTTCACTCTCCCCGAGTTAAACTCCGCAGTTCCAAATTTTATTAAATTCAGTTCAGCCGTTTTCGAGTTGTTTCATGCGTACAGACGGACACAGACATTAATTTTAACAGTCGCTACGCGAAGACCAGAACTCGACTAAAATAAGAAAAAAAGTACGCAACTTATACACGATATTAATCCCATTAACGAAGTGGAGTATGACGCATTTTTAAATGGAAATGCATGGGACTTCATTGCAATGCTTCAAAACAAATGAAGGTAGCTGTCTTCTGGGCTGTAGCGCCGTGTAATCTGGTTGAAGTTTGCCGACGTTTCAGAGGTAGTTGCTACCTCTATCATCAGGGCGATGAGAATCTCTAAAACGCCAGTAAATTTCTGACAGGCAATGTGACCGTACAACTCCGAAGACAGCAATGTTCATGGAAGCCGCCGTCAGAACAACAAATGCTACAAATAACTGTCGGTCTATGAGTCACGGACGTGTTTTTCTCCAAAATAAATGTGGCAAATGGAGGATTTAGTACATTTGTTTAAACAGCAACAGACTGGAAGGGAATCAACCGTCGTCAAACAGGGCAATGCCTAGGGGTCCGCCTGGAAAACTGAGAAAAACCTTGCTGTCTGCAACCGTACACAAGCCAAGCTCAATGAACACGGCCTCACGCTGTGACGGGTTTTCTATCTTCTCGGGGCTAACCTAACCTAAACTTAAACACAGCAAGAAAAACACACGCAAGGGTTTGATGCAAATGCTCAGGCGAGTTGTAAACACCAGAACAAGTCAGTCAGATTCAAATTAATGGGTCACGAAAAGCGACTGTCCGAGTTACACCCCACAGGCCTAAAATTTCATAATACGTGCTTAAAAGCTGAACGTGGCGTTGCGAACAATTTTCTGGCGCTGAGTCGCCGGGACACCACGCCCCTCCCCCTGCCCCACTTATCACCTGTGCGCGGTGGCAACCTGTGGGTGACACCAAACGCCGTGGCCCGCGTTTCGTCTCAGACTCCGGTCTTCCGTTAAAAGTAAAGTAAAGTTTGTCCCACTATACGCCATGTAGGCGTTTGGGGTGAGTGGAGGTATAGCTCCTCTCTTCCTTGACCCCGGCACTAGATGGGGGTGAGTGGTCAGCATCACGCTCCGGCCGGCTTTACCCCCGGGAAAGGATCCCGGTACCCATTTTAGAGGAGGCTGGGTGGGCCCCAGAGCCGGTCTGGATGCAGAGGCTAGAGGAAAAATCCTCTGCCCCCGTCGGGGATCGAACCCCGGTCGTCCAGCCCGTAGCTAGTCACTATACTGACTGAGCTATCCCGGCTCACCGGTCTTCCGTTACCGACTGATTTTCCGTGATGCGGGCTAGGAAGTATGAAAAGGTTAGGT